TTCTCTCCACTGCTGTACATCTTGTTTGAATATGTTTATCATTTGTAACAAAATATTGATTTGATGGAAATAAAGGTTTGCTGCAATTTTTCAGCTCCGCACACGTGAGGCGAAGGCAGCATCTGCGAGCACATTTCTGCACTCTTTCTACTCAACTGGATGAGAAAACAGTTGCACGTTGAGATGTTGCTTTATAAGAGAAAACGCTCTCTGTGATGTGAAAATGCAGATGTACTGAACCATTTCCACAAGGACCTACGTAAATTAAGACAGAGCACAAAGTTTTGATGCTTGAGGCAAGACATATTTTTAATTAACCTAACAGATGTCTCAATGAAGTTCCCCAATTGATTACTTCCATATTTAAACATGAATAAAATGTCATGTTTAAATATGGAACATAAGCTAAGTGAACAGGAAATGAGAGACATTAAATTTCAAAAGAAATGCTGTAAAATAAGCACATTAATTTGTATTTTGTGATATTTATTTCCATTTCCCTGAAAGAAGATTGATTCTCAAAACTAAATATGGAAGAGCGTGGAGAAGAGAAAAGAGAAAAAAAAACAAAAATGTTCCTACCTGCCGTTTCCTGCCTTCAAATTGACCTATTAATGCTCATTTTCTGCTCTATATTTTTGTTCTTGGACTCGACTAAAGCACATTTGTGTGGGTCAAAGTTCAAACTAATCCTGGGTTATCTCATACTGTGCTATAGCTACCCTTCACAAACAGAAGGATTTAACAGCAGATGGATGGGGCCGCTATGCTCAAAGCTTAAACTGTGTGCCTGAGATGACAATATTAATAATATCCGCACTCTCTGACACCACAAAGATCTAAATCTTTTGATTTGTCAGCCTTTTTTGTATAAATGCTGACCCTGATTTGAAACTACGGCCATTGTAGCAGCAGGAAATACCGAAAAACAAAAGAGGTCCACTTTAAAATGTCACTAATGGACATGAACACAGTTTCAAAAAGAAAAAAAAAGCTTATTATTAAAGGCAAAATCACCAAAAACAGCAATCTGATGATTTTCCTTTGTTTTTTGGTTTGTTTGTATTTTTATCAGATGTAGGAATGACCCTCCTTTTCATGTCTGACCTTATATAACGTTAAGGGCAGTCTCAATTTAAAATAATAATTTGCAATGTGACCGGTAACATCTCTATTACTAGCTATTAATATATAAAGCAACACTGTTGTACTCAATTGCAGTCCAAAATACTCATAAATATTTGATATTGTGGAGATCCCACCAGATATCCCTGTTTCCAAGAGGAGTCTGCTAAGGTAAGAGACATCAAAGACAGTGTCAAAGAAATGAGTCAAATATGTTTCAAGAAATGCTCTGAAAGGGAATATGTGAAAGTTTAAAAAGGTGGAGCTGTTTGATCTGTATAGAGCAAAAAAAAAAAAAGCCAAATGCAGAGGAGACAAGCTTACTGTAGTAGCCCCCAGTGCTGACCCAGAAGTGGAAAGTCATATCTCATGGGACTGATGTCAATGCAACCTTGTGTTGTGCCTAAGTACCAATTGATTTTTGCAATGACACATGGCCCTGCACCACTATTATGTGGCCCGAGTAACCCGCTCAATTCATTAAAACACCATAATTCTTTATAAAGGACTTAAATAACCGAGAACTGGAAACAGCATTTTGAGTTTTACAGTTTTTACAGAGATGACATTAAAATGTTAACAGAATTCTTATACGTACTTTTAGTTAGTAAGCCTATTAAAAGTCTTAGATTTTAAGACAGTAAAACAGAAATAAACATGGTTGTAGTGGTATCTGGTGGCAAAGCTTACTCCATAGTTCCCTTGTGGCTTTAATGACTTTCAGTTAGAGTTTTCTTTGGTTTAGCCAACAAAACTATTTGATTAGGTTAAAAAGAACCATTACCCACATATTATAAAGTCTGTCTGACAGAAAGTTATGAAGGCTTGTGCCATATTCCTCTATGCTCATCTGGAAGAAGGGTCTTTATAACAGCCTTGAAGTTTCAAAGTTTTCTTCTTTATTTATTCATTTATTTATTTATTGCCATTGTTTGTTAAGGATGTTTTGTCTTTTAAAACCTCCCCGCAGCACCTTTAAGCAGACCAAAGGCACATCGAAATGCAGCCATCACGCATGAAAACTTGACACAGTTCCTATTTTATTAATTCTCACTTCTTTAGGTGACTCTATCAGGTCGCAGGATAGAGGCTGCAGTTAACATATGAAATGGATTCTCTTACGCACCACTGATGAAATGAATCAAGCAAAGCCAGCCAGAGCAATACACAGACTAGACAGTCACAGTCACAATTCATTTTACTGGTGCAGATACACCTCGCAGTCAGTCTCTTCAGTGCCACACTATTATAAGAAAAAATGAGGATGTCACAAATGATAAGCAATGTTTGGACCCATGACCTCCAGGATAACAGCAAAAATGTGACAGCTGCTTGAAGAAGCAATCAGCTATTGTTTGGAGTACCAGCTGGATCAAACAACAAAAAGCCACCCGCGGCACCAACGTCATTCCCAGGTTTGGCATGTGGCATGTGGCTTTATTAAAACAATAAGAAAGGAGCAAAAGGAAATTTTAAGAATTTGAATGAAAACAGAAACACAACAGGCACAGAAGAGGTTCAAAAATCTAAACGTCTGTACCACTTCAAACAAGTTCGGAAAACAAATAAATATGACAACAACAATAAAAAAAATGTAACAGTCATTACCACAGCAGGATCACTGTAGAGGGACGCTAGATTAATACACAGTTTAGTAGAACAATACACAGCTGGCTATTGAAATGCATAGCCGTATATCTGACATGTCTACCTTTAAGCATATCAACCACAGCAGGAGAACTAAACCTGCTCAGTGGAGACCTTTAATTGAATCCATCCAAGGATCCCTGTAGAGGTGCCTTTATGCTGTCCTTTTCATTAACATTTAAAACCATGGCCATCTGTAGACTCACAGTCCTGAGCAAAAGTGTCACCACGTTATTGTTAGACAAAATAATAGAAGCATCTTTCACTACGAGCCAAAAAGTTCATTGGCGATCATGGAAATCTGAGCCTGAAAAAAACAAGCATGCAATTTTTTTTACTGAATCTGAATAATTACCACAGAGAATAAAAAGATCAATTTAAAGAAAACTGGGGCTCCAGAAAAAGAAAAATAATGTAGGAGTTTATTATTTGAATTCGCCGAAATGATTGTTTTGGGGTTGTTGTTTTTTTTCAATTCCGGCATTATAAGATTAGCTAGTCAGATATGTTGCTTCCTGAAGGCAAAGCAGGCAGACGTGGCTTTGCAAATCTATTCAGGTGTGAACATTTTTTCTCCCTTTTTTTTTTAACATGACCTGAAGTTCAGAAGGTCACAATTGACCTTATTTCTCGACCAGCCCTCCGCTCTTAACCAAGCGCAGCCTTCCAATCCCATTACTTTTTTTTTTTAATGCTAAGTCTGGAAACAAACCGTCTTATAAAACACTGATTACATCTGTGTGTTCTGGTAATTACTTTTCATGACTTTCCCCCTCAAGACGTAGCATACAATCTGTGCTGACCTGCCAAATTACCACTGTAATGCCCTGCTCTCCAATTAGTGTTCAAAGATTACCTCTAAGACTAATAATGGTATACACGGTTTAAAAATAAATCTTGGGAGACAGCGTATATTTTAATTAATCAAAGTCAAACAAAAGCACTATTAGTTTCAGAGCTTAGAAAATGGCTAAATGAGTCTGCGAACTCAAAAAACCCTTAAAAAAAACTGATAAATGATTAAAAAGTTGTTACCAGAAGATTACTTGTATATATGACTTAAAGGAAACATCTAATTGTAGGTGTGCTAAACGAACATAAATAATTAAATAAAAAATGCGTGAGTACTTGGATTGCTGACTGCTAAATGCTAGAGGTTAATACATCAATATAGCCCCTAGTTATATGACTCATACATCATCAGTGCTACCTCTCTGCTATTGACAAATATGTTGGATGTGTGCAGTAACCTTGACTTTCTCTACAAATTCTCCTCTGTTGTAACCCTTGAGGCAAAATAAATAATTGCTAGCCCTGACGGTGTTTAGCATGTCACTAACAAATGCACAGACATGTGTCCATTTGGTTCAAATCAACAGCAAAAAACACTGAGTTCAAAGACATCATTCTCCCCGTGGATGTTTTCCCCAGAAACTGCATTCCACTCACTCACCACTAAAAGATGGGATGGAGAAAAGAAAAGGCGGAAAAGGCAAGTTTTATAATGCATGCCTTCCTGCGTGTGATGTCTCTATGGTAAAGTCAAAGCCCTGAATTTCCCCTCTCACGGCTCTCATTAAGGCAGTGGTGTCAGGCAGTGGCAGAGAAGAAGGATGATTTTATCAATGATTTAATTAATCATCAAAACTCTCCTTCTCTACACATCGCTCTCTTCATTTGTCCATCCTTCTTGTCTATCACTGTTCCTTGAGCTTTTTTGAAATATTGCAGATAAGCGAAAGGAAACGCGCACACACCTGCTCTTTCTAAGGCACTGCAACACAAGTCGCCTTGTCCTTTCTCTCAGTTCCCCTGACTTCAACTTGCTCCCTCCCAGACCAGGCAGCAAAAGTCCTCAAAAAAAAAAAAAAAAAAAAAAGCAATGTCGCCACTATTCAGGGGAAAGCGGAGGAGGCAAATCCAGTGAATTACCTCCACAAAAGGACAACTGTGTCTCAGCCTGCTTCAGAACTAAAAAAGATAATAGCCCAGTTCAACAGCTAAGCTCTTCCTTCCTCCTTTAAGTCTCTCAGTTTCTAACATTCTTAGCACACACAGAGCCACTGCCGGGACGAATTAACGCTTCAGTATTTGGCAGGACTGAGCAGACCTCCAGAATACCATGCTTTGAACCAAGACACCCCTTTTGTTTCAGAGTCTCCGGCAGGATGAAACTGACAGGAGAAAAAAGAAAAAAGAAAAGAAATGTTTTCTTGTTTATCTCTTACCTGGTATTGAGGCTCAGAGCTGGACAGAGAAGCAGTAAGCAAATAGCTTGGATGAATTTCATAGCTGTCTCACACTCCCGTTCCTTCTCCCTTCTTGGATGATTTTTGCCTTTCCCCCGTGCCTCTCTCCCTCGCTCTCTAGCTCTCCCACTGGCTGCCTGGGTTTTTTAGCGCACTCTCATCCACACACGCACCCAGACACACAAGCGGCGAGGCAGACAGATGCAACACAGTGGCTCGGCGAGAGGGAGGATCTCTGGCTTTAAATAACACGGGGACACGGACCGACTTGGTAATGGAAAGGAGCGGGTGGGGCTGAAATCAAGAGAGGGAGATGTGGGAGTGATATGATGTCAGCGCCAGTGCAGCTATAGCTATTGGCGAAAGGCTTTCTTTTTTCTTTTTTTCGCATTGTTTGGTGTTGGTTGTTCCTGCAACAGTACACCTCTCTTTACTTCCTTGCATTGTGATAGATAGGTGGAGGTACGAGCCAAAACATTTAGTGGAAACATTTAGCAATGCCAGGTCGTGGCTGCAAGTAACAGCAAAGTCACAGTTTAGTGAAGGCATGAACAGATTTATAGTGCAATTATTACTGAAGCTCTGCACTTCAAGCAGAAATCAAGGTCTGGTACCAAATTTTAGTGAGCAAAAACGGAAAATGAAGACCTGAATAAACTGAAATAATAAACTCTGACGAAAAGATACCAGGTCTTTTTTTTTTTTTTTTGCTTTATTATAGTATGTGTAATTTCAATGAAATGTTGATAGAAAACAAACTTTATAGAAAAGAATGTAAAACCTATGTAGAGATAAAATACAAATCTTGGAAATGCCAGGGGGGGGGGTGTCTGAGTAACTTTAATAGTTCAGAAACAGTTCATTGCAGTAAAGGAGAAATTATGTTAAAACCCAACACACACACACACACACACACACACACACACACACACACACACACACACACACACACACACACCTCATTTATTTATCCCACTTTTCACAGTAACTCTATTTCAGTCATAACCACTATAATCAGAAGAAGAATGTGATTTCAGTATGCAGTAATTTGTACTGGGCCTCATAGCTCTGCAGTGGGACCTCCCATATTTCTCTGGTCACTAGGACATTGCTACACTCGCCTGACGTTTGCATGGAAGATGCTAGCTTGTCTGCAAACACTGGCTAACTATTAGCAAAGTAATAGTAAAAAGTGAAAACAGGAAATATTTCCTGCTTTTACATTTTATGCTTTCAAAGTAAAAGTTGCCCCTTACGACTCCACCCAACAGAGTTTAAAAGGTGCATTGTTTACTTTGAAAGAGAATGTTCTTGGGTTCTGGTTTGTGTTCTCCTTTTCACAGTTTTGGACATGAGTCGTAGTTTTAGAGTGTTTGCAGACAAGTAGTAATATGTATGTCTTACATTTGTTTTGCCAGTTGATTCCGTAGCCATCAACTGATCTGGGCTTTTGTCAGCTGGTATGGTACGATTGCAGGCTCAGTATCTAACGTAGCAAAGTTATCGCAATCCTCTGTGTTGTACATAATTTTATAACAACTTTTAAAATAACCAAATAAAAAAACAACAAAACTTTGTTAGCACAAGAAGCTGAAATAGAAATAAAGTGTATTCACTGTTGGAATACAAGATAATGTAGACCTTACAATATAATAGTTCAAAGTTAAAGCAGATGTTGTCCAGTATGGCATGTAGGCTTGATTATTTAAATTAACCACACCTGAGCCCTAGGTCAGACCTGCACTAGGATAGGAAAAGATAGAAATGTGCTGTAATTAAATCATCTTCCCACCCCAGTCTCACTTGCCTTGCAGATCACTTTGATGCTTCAAGTTAACCTTGTGAAAGTTAGAGCAGCTCAAGAACAAAATGTTGAGCACTGAGAGGATGTTCAAAGTCAGATTCCGAGCCATGTAATACAGGTAGAATATTAAGCAGTCCATACAAAAGGTGGGGGTCACACACCATAGGCATGATAAATGATTTCCATTACAGGTTTAATAGAGTTTGAAGTCTATTGTGCCCTAGTACTAGCTCATTTTCCATACTGAAAGATTTCCAGCCATTTATTTGGCGTAATTATAAGTTCATGCATGGAAACCCATAGTGACCAGTTGTAATGAGTCTGCTAGACCGCAGCTTGCCATGGTTACTGTGGAGAGCATCTCGTTGGACCTCCATAATCTGTCTCAATCATGTGTCACATCAGCCTGAAACTTGCAGTCCCGCTGCTCTGAGCCAACCTGTTGAGCATCTTATCATAATGAAGAATAATTACCATAAAATGAGCATGAATTGTTGATATTATGCAAGATTACGTTTAGATAATTCCCATAGCTAAGCCTGAATGTCACATCAATTGATTTGTGTATTTTGTTTCCAAATGCTTCATTTGAATTTTGAATTTAGCCTAAATAGGATGCTTTGATTCAGTTGGAGCCAAGAACTGTTTAGTGTTTTTGTTTGTTTTTGTAGGAATTCTGCTTGGATGAAAATACATTTTTGAAAACCGATAGATTGTTTATATAACACCTAAACAGCCATGATGACATCAGAAAATGCAGTTTGTTGTTATGTTGTTAGTCCTAAAAGCAATTTGTACGGTGCAAAAAAAGTCTTTTTATGTTGCCACAATGATTTCTTTATATTTGCAAAACACAAAATCACTCCTGACGCCAACCAATTTCGAGTGTTTTTCCTACAACCTGTGCTGCTTGGAATCCCGGGGATTCCAGCTGACTATGTTGCCTGAACTAAATAATTAAAAAGGTTACTGTGGAGCTCTGTAAGCCATGCAATATATTATTATAAGTGTATATTTTTCATCTTGCACTTTCTCCAATCTTGTAATATTGCCTACGTGCAAAATTCCAGTCATAAACACTCAGAGAGCAATATTGCAACACAAATCTTACACAAGCAAATTTAAAAATTCTGGCTACAAAGTAAAAGTAAATGTTAATATACCTCCGCCTCTTAATCCCACTGAGGTCACTGTTGAAATAATGATGAAAACTGGAATCTTTGAACTACTAATTGCTCAAAAATCAATGTGTGCTTTAGGTTTGTGTATCACTCTGTGAAACTTTTTAGACCTTCCTAGACGAAAGAATGAATGCTCAAACGTTTTCTGTGATTTGGCTAAAAGTTAAAGGAGTTATAGTTGGAAATAGAGTAAGACTATACTTAGGAGAAAATTCAGCCACAAATGCAAAGTGTTCTAGGTTTTGTTTTGTCTTTTTAAAATAAAAGCACTTTGAGCGGCAGACATGTGTATGAGTTTAGATCTTCAAATTAAACATAAAGTACAGGAAGACCTTATCTACCCACACCACTGAGCCTTGGGACTACGTCCTATTTAGCTGAATTCTGAGCAAATTGTTGAAAAATGCAACAGATTCTGTTAGACTAACCAGCTGAATGGGCAAATGGGTTAAGCTCCTTGCTAAAGAGCATTTAATGTTAATATTGGTTCTTCAGGGATTGCACATTATAATAGCTTTTTTAGGGGTCCACATTTCCCCCATCCAGAAACCCCATCCTTTTGCCTTCTGGTCACAAGCCTTATTCTTTACCTTCAGGCTACAGCAGTCCCAGCAGGCAGCATTTCCACTTGTCTTGCTATAACATATCCAAGGGCGGCGATATTGACTGACAGTTGCTTCAGTAAATCAAGATATCCCTCTTCTAAACTGGCTAAAATAATGGTCTGTCAGCAGTGCTGTTGCTTTTACTGAAGACTGTTTACTTTCTGAAGGAGTGCCTCGTTGCTCTTCTTCTCTCCCCACACATGAATATTAACCTCAAAAATACAAGTTAGCAAGTACTGCAATCTCCATAGTCCATTATGTATGTTTACAGAGAGTTTGCAACGAGGAGAGAGCAAAAAAATCAGCATTCCCTTGCATAAATTTCCATCCTCAACATCTACAGTGCCATTCAACATTTTGTGTGGAAAAGGAAAGAGAAAACAAAAAGAGAGAGAGGAGTCTGGCAGCAAAGCTGAAGCTTAAGGCAGTTCCCTGTCAGTTGGTTCTCTCTCTCAGTGCAGGAGTATGGAAATGTGCTTTCACAGAACTGGTGCTGAAATAAGCTCTGAACATCTTGTCTGAAATGTTTAGTTTGTCAGCACATGTTAACAACAAATGAATGGAGATAGCGGAATACACAGCCTTAATCACAGTAAAGCCAAACAGCCATTGTTGGTTATACTACTAATAAACAAAAGGTAATACAGCTTCCTGTATGTTACAGTACAAAAAGCACCCAAACAAACAAACAAACAAACAAATAGAGCAGCGCTCTATTAACCCTTAACATCAAAATCCAAGAGGAGGATCAGAGAAGTTCCCGCTGTGTGTTGGATCTGAAGACTGAAGTATAAGGAAGAATAACATGTTGTAACTGATTACCGTGCCTTAGAAAATGCTGCAGAGAGCCTTGAGACTCTTTGTAGTTCTTGCTGTTTTTACATTCGGGTAAAATGACAAACGAAACAAGCCCAGTGTAGCCATTTGGTTTCTAAATGCTCCTGCAAGTTTCAGCTTGCTTTAAGTTTTTGAAGTTTTTCTCCACCTGTCTGCCTCAGCGTTTTTTGCTTCGTGCTAAGAAGCAAGAATAAAAAAATGTCTCTGTTTTCCAGGAAATTCTGCAGTGATTTCTTCAGAGACTTTCAGAGAGCCATGCTTCACAGGCCATTTGTATAGCGGACCAACATTTCAAAATCAGTTGACTGCCACTGTAAGAACAGCTCGTCGACAGCTTATAGTCAGAGTAGACTGGATCCAGACCTCTGAATCTAGCCACTCCAGTGAGTTGACTGATTTGTCTGGCATGTGACACGAAACAGCTGTTTGTCAGTTTAAAAAGCAAATGGCTCAGTGACTGCTCTAGCACTAAAGATTAGCCAATTGGAGCCATGGGCAGGACTAACACTGTTGTCAAGCTGTGCACCAAGAGAGATAACAAAAGAAAAAAAAGAAGACAGCATAGTTTACTTTTTCATTCTCCTAAAACAAAGACAAAACCAGTATGTTGGCAAGGCTTAAATTGACATTGGAACGAGGCGGATACGTTGGTCTACAGTGATTGTTTAAAAGAAATCAAATCCCCTCTCCTGCGGAAATCAAGTCAAGACAATGTCAGATTATAGATTGAATCAGAGTGTAATAAGTCTGATATCAGGCGGGAAAGAAGGAGACGAAAAAAATCTGCTGGCACAACCAGACGTAACACGATGCAACAACCACAACAATTTAATTATGTCAACATTT